ACACACACACACACACACACACACACACACACACACACACACCCAAAAGAGGGGAGGAAATTAGAACTGTGAAGTGAGTGGTTTAGACTCTTGCCATTTCAAAGCCACGAAAGACCTCCCTCACGGAAGCAAAAGTTGCTGCCAGCTGCATGCAAGAGAGACACGGTTACACACGGCCCAAGTTGGCCAGCGTTCGCTTTTCCATCCTTCCACGACTGGAAGAGATGGCGTTCAGCTACATGCGCATCTACGGATGATTCCAACATTTGAATGGTCCTCTGTGTTCAGGTTTTGTGTGAGCGCCGGAAAACTGAAACTGTGCCTGGGGAGCTATGAGAAAGGTTGACAGCTGGATTATCAGCTGCTACGGACACAGAAGCTTCATCTTAAGTGAGAGTGGCCAGGTACCACTGGAGGTCTAACTGATAGCAAGTCCACTTGCACTGTAGAAGGTGTCTGGGCATCTTTGTCAAACCGTGATGAGCAATGCTGCTTCCGTGTTGAGGTGAAATGGTTACTCTCCTCAGTGTTTAATTCGTACGGCTTGAAAGAGAGGAATGTGACAGATACCTCCATCTTGTGGATTGCATGCTTATGCCTGCTTGGGGAAAGAATTCTAAGCCGTGTTTGCCTGTGTCTTTGGGGTGTGGCGGGAAAGGCAAGCGTGTGGGCAGTTCTCTGAGAAGCCTTCGGAAACCTGACCTGTGTTTTCTATTTTTGCTTTCGCAGGATGATTATTTCAGGAACTGGAATCCCAACAAGCCCTTTGACCAAGGTAACGGATGCCACCTTTCTTGCTTTCTGGTCTGTGGGAAATGCGGTCTTGCTTTTCTTTCCTGACATGTTGAGCGAAGGCCAGCTAGCTCTCTGATTTGCTTGTCTGTGGGGACTCAATTGATTGGGATGGTAGAAATTATTTTCTCAAGTTGGTTTATTTGTCTAGGACAGATTTAAGCCATTTTTCTTTAAAAATTGAATTGACTGATACAATTACTGATTGCCTTATTTTTTTTTTTTGGTTTTGATAGCGAAATGGTTATCAGACTTACCTAAAGAATCGTGGGCTGGATCCACTGCTTTTATTCCTGGAATCTACTGTGCCTAGAGTTACCATAAAAATGAAGCTTCCTTTGTTTTAAAAAAAAAAAAGGTTAATCCTGGGAGATGTTTTTCAAGGTCACTGAGATTTCCTGTGTTAAATGACTTATTCATGGCTTCTGAAGCTTGCTTGCGGATGGTGTGGGTCTCAGTCTGGTCCTGGGAGGGCTCTGTCCATCCACATCAGCAAGCAGAGGAGACAAGTCGCTCACCGTGGCCTTATGTGTGTGTGTGATTTAAGACTCAGGGAGAACCACAGTGAACCAAGCTCTCTTCTCATTGTTCCCTGTGGAGCCATCTCAGCCCGGCCCCACGTGTACCTGGGACCCCAGTATGTACCAAAGCTCCTTCTTAAAACCCAGAGGAAAGACTATTACACAGCATGTGTAGGAGGGTTTGTGCTTCTGAGAATGCGTGCAGCTTGTGGCTATGGTGATCGACTTGAAAGGAGGCACTGGAAATGGGGGAAGGCGCCCTTTCTAGGTGCCCCTTCTTTTGCCAGCTGTCCTTATCTTGAGGTTTGTCTCAGAGACCTGTGCCTGGATTCACAAACACTCCTCCTATCCACTATCTGTAACCCACGTGGCCAGCGCGGGCCTTGCAAGCCACTTTGAACAGACCCACCTGCCACGCTGATAGTGAAATTTTTACCTCCAAGCTTATCATTTGCCTGGAGGTTGTGTCATGCTTTACTTATTCATGCCTGCCTGCCTGCCTCCTCCTATCTGTTCATTCATGGATATTCATTGAGCTCGCACTGTTTGCTCAGCCCAAGCCAGCTACGGGAAGAGTGCAGAATGGTGAGCATGCCTGCCCTAGCGCAGGTCAGGGTGAGGAGCAGGAGCAGGGAGAGAACCTGGCTACAGGACAGGCTAATCAATCTGATGTAGAGCTGTGCAGAGAATTGTGATTGGATAGCTGGGGTCAGCGCGCGCGCGTGTGTGCGTGCGTGCGTGCGTGCGTGCGTGTGTGTGTGTCTCAGAGACAGACAGAGAAAGGAGGAACATACAAGAGAGATTTCCTCTGTCTGGGATGTAGATGTCTTAGTCTCTCAGGGTTTGACTCCTTTAAAACTCTGAAGCATTGTAGTAACTCAACACAAAACCATAATTTAGGAATTTTCCATGAAACATGACCAAAGTTTCTTTCTTTCTTTCTTTCTTTCTTTCTTTCTTTCTTTCTTTCTTTCTTTCTTTCTTTCTTTCTTTCTTTCTTTCTCTCTTTCTTTCTTTCTTTCTTTCTTTCTTTCTCTCTTTCTCTCTTTCTTTCTCTCTCTTTCTTTCTTTCTCTCTCTCTTTCTTTCTCTTTTTCTTTCTTTCTTTCTCTCTTTTTCTTTCTCTCTCTTTTTCTTTCCTTCTCTCTCTCTTTCTTTCCTTCTTCCTTTTTCTCTCTTTCTTTCCTTCTTTCTTCTCTCTCTCTTTCTTTCCTTCTTTCTTTCTCCTCTCTCTTTCTTTCTTTCCTTCTTTCCTTCTCTCTCTTTCTTTCCTTCTTTCTTTCTTTCTTTCTCTCTCTCTCTTCCTTCCTTCCTTCCTTTCTTTCTTTCTTGGCAGTAGGACAATTTGAACTCTGAGTCGTGTGCTTGCTAGGCAGATGTCCTACCTCTCGAGCCACGCTCAGAACCCTTTCTGCTTCCTCTTCACACCCCAGTGGGGTCTGGCTTTTTGCCCAGGCCAGCCTGGGCTGGGACCTCCTATGAATACATTATACGTAATAACGGAGTTAACAGGCACGCGCTGTTGTGTCCAGCTGTTTGCTGCTTGAAACGGGGGAGGGGGGGTCTCACAAACTTTTTACCCACGGTGTCCCTGAATCACGATCCTCCCAAACTGTCTATGCTGAGTAGGTAGAAATACGGCACAAGCTCCTGTACTTGGCTTAACCAAATGTTTTTGAGAGATAAACCTTCATTTATGAAGAGTACTCATCCATGCAGAACAGCAAATTCCCTGTCTAGACCTGCTGAATGAGCCCCTCTGCGCACCTCTCCCGAGCAGGCCCTTACTTGGGAAAGCAACTTGACTAAGAATTACCCAGAACTGATGAGTTTTGTTTTCTTAGGTAACAGCCGGAAATGGGGTCAAGTCAGTAATCGGCTCACAGTTACTCTTTTTTAAGACTTTCAAACAACTATGAAAACTCTTCTTTACTTGTGCTAATAATGTACTTTGGAGATGACAGGCACTAACTGGCTGTCCATTCCTGACTCGAGTGTAGCAGATTGCTCCCCTCGGTTTGGTTATACAGAAACAGAGTATTGAAAAGCACCTGTGATTTAATTCAGGTAGGGGTTTTCTCTCTGGAGAGTGGCAGCTGGCATGCTGAGGAGGCCTCGCCTTTGCAAAGCACATCGTAAGAAATGATGGGGCCGGGCGCCAGGGGCTCACGCCTGTCATCCTGGCTACTTAGGAGGCTGAGACCTGAGGATCACGGTTCAAAGCCAGCCAGGACAGGAAAGTCCGTGAGACTGTTATCTCCAATAAACCACCAGAAAACCAGAAGTGGCGCTGTGGCTCAAGCAGTAGAGCATTCGCCTTGAGCTGAAGAGCTGAAGGAGGGCACCCAGGCCCAGAGTTCAAGCCCCGCGACCGACCAAAACAAAAAAGAAATGATGGGGTGCAATCAGCAGCCTCAACTGAAAAGCATATTAAGAGTTTCAGTGAGGCATCTGGGCTCGTTCCGGGGTGTGGGGGCTTCCAGATGGCTGCGGGCTTGAGCAGCAGGGCAGAAAAGGGGAAGGAAGGCCCAGCCTGGGCACTCTGGCTTAGCGCTGTCACAGAGGTGATCTGGGGCGCATGGAGGGGTGTTCCACACCTGCCGCAGGTTTGCACTCTGTGTTCTTGGCACTGGGGAGCCATGCGAGGTTTCTGAGCAGGCGAGTGACATGAAAATGGCATTCACTTTTAGACGATCTGGTTGGGTAACTCCATAGGCGTGGCCAGGGATGTCAGACACACTCCTGTAGGATGCTGGGGTTACCTCCGCAACCCATCATCCACCACGTTGGAGTCCCGCGCTGTGGCGGTAACGGGTGGCCAGGGGCGTGGCTCGGGCGCTGAGGAACCCAGCTCTTCCCCGGAGCAGCCTCAGGCCCCGCGAACGCTTCTTCTCAAGGAGAGCTCTGGTCCTGCACACATTATGAGACACGGCAGGTCCTCCGCCATCTGGAGACTCATAATGCTCATTAAAGCTCCGGGACACGTTTAACCGTGAAAGCACTTTCAACCTGTGCATTTCTAGCTTCACCTTTGAGCTCCTGTTGTTTCTGTTTCTGGTCGTGCTAGGGTTTGAACTCAGTGCCTCACACTTGCTAGGCAGACGCTCGGTCCTCGACCCACATCTTAGCTTTTTGTTTTGAACTGTTCTTTTGAGAGAGGGTCTTGTTATTTTTTTTCCCCTGGCCAGTCTCAACTGTGATCTTCCCTATGTTTCGCACCATAGCTAGGGGGCAGACCTGTTACCACCATACCTGGTTTTCAGTGTTGAGATGAGGTCTCTTGAACTTTCCTCCTGGGGCTGGCCTGGAACCGTGATCCTCTTCCCTCTCCCAGATTCCCACATAGCTGGGATGGCAAGCATGAGCAACGGCGCTCAGCTGCTGATTGAGATGGGGCCTCACACACGCTTCACCTGGGCTGGTTGTGGATAGTTATCCTCCCAGGCTCTTCCTCCTGAGAAGCTTGGACGATAAGCATGAGCCGCCAGTGCCTAGCTGGGACATGGGTGCTGATTTCGCACCTTAATCTGGGTACCCAGAAGAGGTAGTGTAGTACGTGACAGGTGTAGCGTTGGGCTCTGGAGTGTGGTTCCCAGGCTTTAGAGCTTGATTATCAGTCACCGTGTGGCTTTGGACAGTCATCTCAACTTCTCTGATCTCAAGCCTTCCCACGGGGAAACTCAGTGCTGATCGTGCTTTGAACACAAAGCACTGACGAGATGCAACAGATTCCTACTAGTAGCCGATGTCTTCCATGCCGTCTCTGCCTCTCACTTTTAGCTGCCTCTCTCCCTGGCTCCCCCCCCTCCCCACGCAGGTGTTCTTTCTCCTCCTCTCCCGTGTGCAGGACCCCCCAGAGCTGAGCCACGCTCCCACTGGTAGTTCACAGGAAGGACTGCGTCCCACGTCCCTTCGGCTAGAGCTGAAGAGGTCCAGGCTCTTAGTGCCTTCATTTATCCCTTCATTCCGTGAGAAGCTCCAGGTGTGTGGTGTGGACAGTAGACCACACTAAGGACAGCGCCCCTGTGGCGTACCCCCATTGCTAGCACCTCCACTGGTCCCACAGGTGTGGCGTGCGGGGGCTGGGCGGGTGGGGTTGAGGAGGGAGCTGGGGCCTGGGCTGGCTGGCATTTGAGCAGGTGGCTTCGCTCTAGTGTAGCAGCCGGGGTGTGGCTGGGCCACGACTTGGCCTTAGACAATCTGTGCCTTTGATCTGTCCATCTGGATCCGGGGAACCTGCCTGGTGACAGTCCCCACCCCCCCATGTTGACAGAGGCGTCCCATTTCTTCTCGCCCTCTGAGGGAGGTGTCTCGGTCAGGACTGTTATCCACAAAGCGCAGAGTGGGAAGGAAGGGATAGTTTATTGAACCACAGTGCTGTTGTAAAAAGCTAGAGCTAGCTTTGGGGATTTCCAGAACGGGTAATCAACAAGCTGCAAAGCAACATAGGGGCACCCAGGAAC